GGACCCCTCCATAGACGATGTAACATTAGAGCTCAAAGACTATAATATTTGGAGAAAAGATAGGGTAGATGGAAATGGAGGGGGGGGGTAGCAATATTAACAAAGAAAGGAATTATTATAAAGGAGTTAGAAATTAATCAGGACCCCATAGTGGAAATGAAGGTAATCTAGGTAGAAACAAATGGGGTAAACATAATAATAACCACGGCATACATGTCACCTCAAACATCGGTGTGGTCACTAGAAAATTACCAGAAACAAATTCAAGAGACAATAAAGAGCCTGGAAGAAGTGCTACAACTTTCGGTAAACCAATTCAACAGAAATTCTAATTACAGGGGATTTTAATAGCAAAATCGACTGGGAAAGTTTCGATCCTAGAGCACAACCAGATTCGTGGAATGCTAAATTACTAGATTTTATACATGAGCATTGCCTTTTCCAGAATGTAACAGATCATACCCAGATAAGAGGGCTAGATAGGCTGTTTATGCTTGACCTAATATTTACAAAGCATAACGACGATATTAAGGATATCGAGTACTGTCCTCCTTTAGGAAAAAGCGACCATGTAGTGATTAAACTAAAATACTGTCTGCTACAGGAAAAAATCATTGTAAGCAAGGAAAGAAAGGAAAAGTACAATTACAAAAGAGGTGATTATAGAAGCCTTAAAAATTTCTTTGATAACATAAACTGGAAAACACTTCTGGATGATGAGAACCTTGTTGTTCAGTATTCAAAATTTTTTGAGATCTATAAAAAAGGAGTCGAAAAATTCATATCCAAATTCAAAATTGAAGCAAGAAATGGCCAAAAATGGTTCAACGACAAATGCAAGAAAATGAGGGGGAAAAAGCATCGCCTTTGGAAAAGATTCACAAGGCATAGATCTCAGGCAGCATATGAAAGATATAAAGTAGGAAGAAATGAGTATACCCAAACCATGAGAGAGGCGAAATTAGATTTTGAAAAGGATATAATCAACAAATGTACAAGTCAACCAAAACTCTTCTTTAACTACATAAATAGTAAAACTAAAAGTAGGGATCAAATTAGTGCCATCAAAGACAATAACATTATATATTCTAAGGAGGAAGAAATGTGTGAAATCCTAAATGAGAAATTTCAGTCAGTGTTTGTTCAGGATCCATGCTTTGATACAGCAAATACCCGTACAAACGTAAAGAACTTCGAAAATATCACCCTCAAAAAGAACGAAATAAAACATCTACTAAAAGGATTAGACAAGACCAAAGCAGAGGGACCAGATGAAATTTCTAACTGGGTTCTTAGGGAATGTGCCAAAGAACTGTGTACTCCTTTATTGTTAATATTCCAAAATTCACTAAGACAAGGTAAATTACCAAAAAGTTGGAAATTCGTAAATGTTACACCCTTATATAAGAGCGGCGACAAACAAAACCCACTAAGTTATAGACCAGTTTCATTAACTAGTGTAGTATGCAAACTGCTCGAAAGAATAATTAGAAAACAATGGGTTGAAATACTTGAAAAACATGAAATAATATCAAATAAACAATTTGGTTTTAGAGAAGGAAGGTCGTGTGTAACAAATCTCCTCTGTTTTTATGATAGAGTATCTTAGATATTACAAGAAAGAGACCGCTGGATGGATTGTGTGTATTTAGACTTTAAGAAGGCTTTTGATAAGGTGTCTCATAGAAGACTACTATGGAAATTAGAGCACCTAGGTGGAGTGAAAGGAAACCTAGTCGCATGGATGAAAGACTTTCTTCATGAAAGACAAATGAGCACAGTAATTAGAGGAAAGCATTCTACATGGCGACTCAAGGATCGGTGTTGGCGCCGATTATGTTTACTGTTTTCGTCAATGATTTAGAGTCTAACATAAGCCCAGGTAGTTATCTGAATATGTTTGCAGATGACGCAAAGATACAAAAGAAGGTAACAGACAACATCTCATGCCAATGCCTCCAATGTGACATCAAGAACTTATTCACGTGGAGTTGTACATGGAAAATGAAATTCAATACCAATAAATGCCACATAGTCAGGTTTGGAGAAAGTAGAAATCGCCCACTATTCCAATACAAATTAGGGGACGCAGTATTAGACACAGCTGACAGGGAAAAAGATCTTGGGATAATCATAGATAGAAACCTAAATCCAAATGACCATATAAATGAAAAGGTCCACAAAATGTTAGGACTGATTGCCAACATGAAGAGGGCATTCGTGTATGTGGACGAAGATATGGTAAAGAAGATTATTAAAGCAATCATAAGACCAAGTCTTGAGTACGTTGCAGTGGTATGGAGTCCACACTTAAAAAAAAGATATTGACAAACTGGAAAGAGTCCAAAGAGCGGCGACAAGATGGGCACCTACCCTAAGAGATCTGAGTTACGAAGACAGACTACAAAAATTAGGACTTACTACCTTAGAAGAAAGAAGGAAAAGGGGGGACATGATTATGCTTTTCAACTGCATTACAAGAAGAGTGAAGATAGATAAGGATGACTTTTTGATCTTGAACACAAGAAGAACGAGAGGACACAACAAAAAGTTGAAAGTAAAAAGAGGTGATAAAGATGTCAAAAAATATAGTTTCCCAAACAGAATTATTGAATCATGGAACAGTCTCCCCAATCAAGTAGTGTGTGCCAAAACTGTGCATCAACTTAAAAAGTTATTCGATAATTTAAATATAGCAGACGGGATCACCTGAGCATAGCTCTTCTCCCGTATTCAAACAACTAGGTAAGAACAACTAGGTAAGAACACACACACACACACACACACACACGCGCACACACACGCGTACACACACACACGCGTGCACACACACACACACGCGTGCACACACACACACACACACACACACACACACACACACACACACACACACACACACGCACGCACGCACGCACACACACACACACACACACACACACACACACACACACACACACACACACACACACACACACACACACACACACACACACACACACACACACATATGGACCAACTCTAGCAGGGGATAGTGGTCAGCTGGGTGAGATTGTAGAGGAGACAGGGGAGAGCAGGGGTAGAGATTGTAGAGGAAATAGAGGAGAATGACAGAGGAGAGGAGAGAGAATAAATGTGTGTGCATGAGTGTGAATATACAAACAGGCTCACATGAAGAGGAAGACACATGCAAAGTCAAACATCCATGGCAGACCATTCCTTCGTCAAACCTGTAGTTTCATAGATCAATATAAAGCCAAGAAACTATTTTTTTTTCTTTCTTTCTATTTTGAATCACTAATAGACTGTGAAAAAAAATATCTACTGCTGGAACTAAAATTTTATTTTATTATTTTTTTTTCAGGTGTCTCATCAGTAAAGGAAATGTAATTGTATGAGTAGCTGAAAAGGCAGATCATGAGACAAAATGCAATGTGAAGAAGAAAAGAGTTGGTGATGCAAAATGGAGATACTTCATATTTGATCAGTATGAAAGAGAGGAAGCAGATAGCATTTCCTCTGCCAAATATGACAGGCCTCCAGTTGTAAAATAGACTGAGCTTCTTTTGTGCCCCTAGGAAATGTGCTGTTAGATGTGCTTCTTAATTTTATATTGATTTCTAAAAGACATCTAAGTAACCAAAGCATCATGGATCCCATGTTTTTCAATATGACCGCTTTCTGCGGGACAATGGACTTCAGTGCTTGGAATTCTCGCAAGTTAAACTTTGGGCTGTGTTTCCAAAAAGCAGTGTTTGTTGTTCCTACTTTTGCAATGTTAGCCATAATATCAGCCTATTATATTGGCAAGCAGTCTGAATGGGTGGTGCGCAGAAGAAAGCAGATGGCAATAATCCACGCTAGGATTGCTATGACTGCACTTTCTTTAATTCTGACCATCTTAGAACCATTGCTCTATTTCTATGTGGGAAATGGAGAGCTGTTTTGGGTGGATGGCCTTGTTGTTGGGGTGCAGGTGAGTAGCTACATGAGTTCTGATATGACTATGTATTATAAAATGTTGATGACATAGCAGATTGTTTAATCTGCACTTGTGTTCATATTCAGTGAATGTATTGCAAATTTGATAAGTGTAGTGTTTGTTACTCTATCCTTCTATTTTCTTTTTTATTACAAGTATAGAAAATGATTTGTAAATGCTCTAACATATATTCCTTTCCAGACGATTGCCTGGTTAGTGCACCTGGGTTATTTAACATCCCTGAAAACCCGCCTTAGTGTGGGGACTCGAGGCCCTACACCAGTCATCTTTGCCTGGCTCCTGACATTTCTCTGCACCATCAACTTGGCTAGAACAGCATGGTATCGTGAAAGTGGATTATCAAAACTCATTGAAGAAATCATGAGATATTTGGCCTTAGCACAACTATGCCTACAAGTGAGATTATGCTTCATATAAGTTTGTTTTTAATGCAATGTGCATCATGATTTGCCTATGTCTGCATGTGTAGAAAAGATTATAAGTGAAGGAAGATTCAGCATATAGAGCTATAATTAGCAACTATTTATACATACATACCTGCAGAGTGAATATATAATCAAAAGCTTAGGCTATTCAATCATGTCATATGCATTTACCATCAGTGACTCAGATAAATATGAAATATAATTTACTGTTAGATTAGGATTGATATGGTAAAAAAAATCCTTCCAGATTGTGTACATGTTTACACTGTTCCCAAAAGGCAGTGTTGGGACCTCACACTATCATGAATTTAGGAGAGAGGCCACGGAACGTACTCCTCTCATGGAAACATCTTATAATGATTACAGTGGGTGAGTCACCATTTTTTTATATCTTTTAAGTTTGTGCAATAAAGTAATAAGTTGATGCTTAGATCATAGTTTGTGTGAACCTGTTTGAGTGATTCCTGTATTAAAAAAAAAAAAACTTGCAATAATCCTTTCTTCTTCTTTTGTTATTATTATTATTATTATTATTATTATAATTATTATTATTATTATTATTATTATTATTATTATTATTATTATTCCAGCTTCCATGAGGCAGCAGATCCATTCCATTTGGGCATTGCAGAGGAAAGAGTCAATATTTTATCTTACCTTACTTTCTACTGGGTTAATGCTCTGATGGAGAAGGGGGCATTGGGACACCTTCGCACCCAAGATGATCTGCATGACCTTCCAATTGAAATGCGTACAGATGTCATTGCACATAAGGTAGTTATATTTTATCATCAGACAGTCTACACTGTTTTGATATTGATTTATTAGTATTGTTATGTAGAAGATATTAAATAAAGAAAAAAGTTACATTTGAGAAATTTAGAAGTAATAGTAATAGAAAAAAGGATCATTGTTGCAGAACACATTTATGGAGACAGTTCATTTTAAGGTTGTGTAAGGTTTTCATATATTCAATGATGTTAATTTCTTTGTTTGTTTATCTTTCTTCTTAAAAAAAATGATAAGAAAAGTATGTCTGACAAGCTGATAACTTCTTGACTACAAGAAAATAGATGAGTAATATTTGTGCCACATTTAATAGTGACTCATTGCTACAACGATGAAATCATTTAGAGAATAAAATATGGCTTCTAAGATAAAATGTTATCATGATTGCCATTGTCAGTTTAAAAGTAAAGTAAAAACTATGATGAAGCCAAGGTAATTTGCTGAATGAAAGCATTTGCAACCATAAGAACTCTTTCCACTCTCAATGCTCTGGTTGCAATCAATAGACAATTGACCACATAACCAGTAGCAGGAAACTGCCACCATCAAACTGGTATGCACAGAAGCAGAAAACCCATGTATAATTTATAATTCACAATCACATATACTAGTTTTAATATAATTAATAAGTATGATAAAAGCAGTTACAAGTTCATGAACACTAAGCTTCACGAAAAGCTATTAGTTAGTCCAATTATGAAAAATATTGTTATTTATCAAATGAGGTGCAGTCCTGCCAGCCAGCCTGCTACCCATGTTTCAAAAGTTATTGTAAATCCAACTTTAATAGAAACTTTCCAGTCATGCAATCCAGTTTTAATGTTATCAGTGACATTTAAGAAATATGATTACAAAGTAATGAAAACTAAACTTGAGAAGATATAATGATGCTCAAAGTAGATAGAATATTATTAGCAATTTTTAATTAGGAAATGGACTTGGCAGCTGTGTGATTATACCAATAATCAAAATTGCATTACTTTTCACTGTTTACAAATACAATCAACAGGTCAATAAAACAATCTTGATGAATCAGCCTCTACCAGTAGAGGGTACAGACGAGATACCCAAGCAGAAGAAATACTCGCTGCTAAGAGTCCTACACAAGTGTTTTGGAGTGCAGTTTTACAGCATTGGTGTACTGAAGCTTGTTGGAGATGGCCTTGGATTTGCTGGCCCACTGCTGCTTCATGAGTTGGTAACCTTTATAGAGAACAAGGATGGAGACACCATAACTGGATACACCTATGCAGGTGGTCTGTGTGGTGCGGCTCTGGTTGGTGAGTGTTTTATATTTGTTTTTCTCTTTTATATTTTCTTTTTTTCTTCTTTATTTTGCATGTCTGTTTTACATTGAGGACAATTATGGCTATGATGATATTGTTTTATTATTATACATCATTATTATCAACATGTAAATTAATTTCAACAGCAGTATCATGAACATGATGATGATCATCATCATTTCTTAAAATTATTATTACTGTTATTATTACTATTACAATTACTATTACTTTTATTATTATTACTTTTACTGTTACCAAATGTTAACCCATTGCTGGGATGGCATAATATACATGCGCCATGACCACATTGATTTTAGTTTGTTAGGTGTAATTGTGCTTAAATGACTTTGCAAGTACAAATTCATCAAGGAATCAATTACTAGTCCTACCTATCTCACTTATTTACCCTTTTCCTTGATTTACATAGGCTCTGTTTCATGTTTATTGCTTTTAATATGATGATAACATTATAAAAATCATAATATCAGTCATAATAATAGTATTGATATTGATAGTATTTACTCCTTGGTTACTAAACACATGTGGAGCTATCTGTGTGCAATAAAATTCACAAAAAAATACAATTGACAGTAGCAACATGTACCAGCTGCCTATGTGCTAAGATGATGAGCCATGAAATATAGGATGTTCTTGTCGTGTTTTCACAAGATAACACTTCTTTCCAAATTTCAGCCACGTTCTGCAGCATTCATTATAACTACTTAATGGCTAAAGTTAACCTTCGTATACGTGCGGCACTGGTATCTACAATATATCGTAAAGTCCTTTTGGTAAGCGTTGTTTTTTAGTGTGGTATATTCTCCTATTTAGTCATCTTTGTTATTTTCATTGTAATTACTAATATCGTCAATATTGTCTATTATTGTCATTATTATTATCATTATGGGATTTTGGTTTTGCTTTAATTTTTGGGGGGAAGCCTAAGGTGTCTTTTTAAGTCTTCTGAAATTATAGGTTCTTTTTTGATTTACTACTAATTACATTGTTCAGACATATCAGAGGACTTTTTTCTGTATTAGATAGATGGCCAACAAAGTTTGACACCAGTCCTCCAAAAAAGGAAAAGAACAATTTCCTTATGTCAGATGTATTCATTTTGATGCAGAACATAGACTAATTAAGGATATTATATTCTACACTCAGGTAAGCTCTGTGAACCTCAGCAAATTCACAACAGGTGAAGTTGTCAATATGATGAGTACTGACACTGACAGAGTTGTCAACTTCTGTCAGTCTTTCCATGCATTCTGGAGTCTTCCATTGCAGGTAAGAGTTTTATATATACTTGAATATGTAATGTTTTGATATGTAGACTGTATGCATCCATTGGTTGCAGTAACAGAATCCAAGGATGCTGAATTTCGAAGTAGAAAATAACACAATAGTTACATATTACCTGTGTGTATTGATCCATATATTTGAAATGATATGTGGATTATTAATGGTACCTAGTGTAATTGCTTTGTAAATAGTTGAAATTGTGTATCATATCCAGAATAGTGGTAAGAAGGCATATAAGCAAGAATGCAACATTTTCTTCCTTTCATTACTAACAGATTAACATTGTATGATGTTCTGCATATAGCACATAATGTTTGACATACAAGTATATTTTGATAATATTGTATTAAAAAAATAAAGATAAAAATTAACCAGGCTGAAACTGACTGCCAAATTGGAGATGTCATCTAAGTTGACTTCATGCTCCCATGCAATCAGAAAAGATTGACTAACTTTCAAGCCAGCTTGAAGGGGAGGAATTGACACACTTTCCCTATTGGACCAAAAATACACATTTCTCATTGATTAACCCCCTGCCACTCACTGAACATGAGCTTTCAACCCAGTATTTGGGTGCAACCTTTACTTTGAAGAACCCTGCCCTGGATGAATGTGTCATTCACATCATGTCTGATTTGGCGATGGCTCCAGGTAACTTGCTATTCAATTCTTGACTGACTTGGTTGTAGCTGTTGAGGATGAATCATTCACATCATGTTACTATGATATTTGCAATACACTTTACACATTACATACCTTAGGACATTGCCTGAAGGAGAACATGATGTGTAATGCTCTGGTTGGCTATTATTTTATATAAAAGGAGTGATATTTAGTACATTAACAATTAGGCTGTTATAATGAACACAGTTAAAGCATTAGTAATTTAAACTTTTTCTTTTGCAGTTGGGTGTCACACTGTATTTGTTGTATGTACAAATTGGAATAGCTTTCCTCGCTGGTGTAGGAGTTACAATTCTACTGATCCCCATCAACAAGTGGCTGGCATCAAAAATAGGTAAAAATATGGCAATTCTATATGTGTATATATATATATATATATATATATATATATATATATATATATATATATATATATATATATATATATATATTATATATATATATATATATATATATATATATATATATATATATATATATAATATATAATATTATATTATTATATTTTCTATTTTTTTGCAGTTTCTCTTTATACAGTGTACACATATCAGAATATATCTTTAAACAACTTAAACCTTTCAGGTTTTTGGCCACTCACTCACCAATTGCTTCTGTGTAGAGTGCATAGCACAGTTTCCTGCCCCTTTTGCAGTAATTCCATTTGTGTGGCTATTAGATTTATTTCCCATGATAGAACATTCATCTTGACCACATTTTGATGCATGATTGAAAAAAGATCAACAAATTAAAGAACTTAAAATATAACATCCTTCAGATCATATCTCTTGATGGTGTGGAATCTGAAAAGGTTTATCCTTTAGATATATGTGAAGAACAATTTTTGGTTCTTTGCAGGGAAATTGAGTGTAGAGATGATGGGATACAAGGATAGAAGAGTCGGTCTCATGACAGAGGTCCTGAGTATGATTAAAATGGTGAAACTGAATGCATGGGAAGCCACATTCAAACACAGAATACAAGGTATGTTGGATGAGCTTTGACCAGAGGTAAGAAAGACATCTGAGGGGAAAAATATATTTTATGAGAATAACTGTAGAGATTAGTAAAAGACTTGAAAAAGAGGAAGATTATTAGATAAAAGGAAAATAATAACAAGAGGAAAAGAAACATAATGTGGTGTAAAATGGAGAAAAGTTCAAACTTTGTACATCATGTTTTATTAATTTCTCTTATAGTTCATGTGTTGAAATTTTCATGTATGCATTTGTAATTTAAGGTGCTGTATTGAAGTATTTTTGTTTATATTCTCTCTTTCAGCCTACATTTTATGGAATATGACCTTAGTAATTTGGGCTAATACCAGAGAGGAGGATAAAGGATTTTATTTGAAATACATATAATGAAATCAATGTTTTTGGTTTTGTTTTATTTACTAGATGAACGATATGGTGAAGTAAAGGCACTGGCTGGACGTAAATACCTTGATGCTGCCTGTGTCTACTTCTGGGCAGCAACACCTGTCCTTATACCGATTGCTACATTTTCAACGTACATTGCTCTTGGTAATTATTAGAATTCAGTCTTTGTATTTATTGGTTGATTTAGTTTTTGAATGATTATTGATATATTGATTTTGTAAAATCTAGCAAACTGACTCTCTGACTTCCTAAGATCCAGTATATAACCAGGGATTGTATAATAATTTTTGTGAACATGGTTACCTCCAGCAACTATTTAGAATATCTGTATTGTTCCAACACCTTTCCTTCTGAAAAGTTTTCTGATCCTTACAGGCAATCCTCTCGAACCTGCTCGTGTATTTACAGCAGTAGCCCTTTTCAACATGCTTATTATGCCACTCAATGCTTTCCCATGGGTCATCAATGGGCTGGTTGAGGCTTGGGTCTCCGTGAAGCGTATTGAGCGTCTGATGGAGGTAACTCATTCTCACTATTTTTCTATAGTCTATAGAGTTGATAAATATTCTTGTAAAAAAAAGGGAAGGGTGATGAAATAGGGAAAAGGCAATATGACAAATATGCAGTGTACATTTACCGAGGCTTGTGCTTACTTTCATTGGATTTGTTATGGTTATTGAGGATTTGTTGATGTATTTCAGCCTCGTTTGTTTGGAAAAATGATATAAAAGATGTTGAAATATTGTCACTTACATTTATAACTTGTCCAGGAAGTTTTATTGTTAAAGAAAGTATAATATCAGTGTACCTAATACAGAGGAACATTTATAAACGATTTTGTAATCCACAGCTACCAGAACAAGACCTAATGAACTATTACACTGTAGTACCTGAGATGAGTCATAAGGACTCTGAGCTGCAAGTACTGATCACAAACGGAAGCTTCACCTGGGCCAATGGTGCTTCTCAAGCTCGAAGAGAAGCTGAAAGTCCCAAGGACTCATCAGTTGAGACATCCTCAACTGGATCAGGAAGTTCATTGATAGAAACTGATACCCTCAATGGAAGCTTCGAGAATCATGTGGTGTTACCAACTCTTAGAAGAGTCAGCATGCAGCTTTCAAAGGTTTGAGAAATAGTTGCTTATATGATATTTCTTAATACTTTTTTAGATAGATTTATTTTCTTGTACTTACTAAATCATATTAGTGATAGGCAATCTTGCAAAGAAAAGTAAGGACCTAATAAAGTTTGGGGATCTAATTTCAAGTGGGAAGTTATATGACAGGAAACAATGTTAGTTTATGGATATTGAAGACGATTTTTTAATATGTTTTGTTTTGTTGGTCCAGGGTCAAGTAGTGGCTGTTGTTGGAAAAGTAGGTGCTGGTAAGACATCACTGCTACATGCCTTGTTAGCGGAAATGTCAAAGACTCATGGGATTGTTGCAGTGGCTGCACTTCATAATGGTAAGCAATCATTGACCTCTAATTTGTTACACTGATTTGATATTTGAATCAGCTTTAGTGTAAATTTGTTTTGACATGTGTGTTTTAGAAGTTTCTGCATGATATGTTGTTTATGTTTTTTTAAAGATAAATACCTGCCTGTAACTTTATGCTAAAAATAAAGTATTTTAGATGATTTAGACTCATATATAAAGGCCCAACATTTTTCAGAAAAATATAGACAGGTCTTTTGTTTAACAGGTTTTGGATTTGCCTCGCAACAGCCTTGGATACAAAATGGGTCCATTAAGGATAACATATTATTTGGCAGCAGTCTTGACACCAACAGATACAGGTATGGCTGGTCCTGAATGAATATACATTCTAGTTTTGATACCTGTGTTTGCTTTTGTTAGTTATGTGTTCCTTGATATTTTTCTCTGAAATGATATTTGAACAAGAATTACTTGTGATTCTTCATGGAAATACAGTAATTGACAAAGAACAAAAAAGCATACCCACTTTTACTCTAACATATATATAGATAGATAGATAAGGGAATATGTATTTATTTGTATGCAAGTTAGGAGCTGTTGTAAAGCAGTGGTGACCTGTGCAGACAGGTACCACAAAGGTCTTTAAATTGCTCATGTTCGAGTTCCAATCACATTTGTATATATCAATTTTGTTGTAAAATACAATAAAGGAAGGAAAAGATATTGTCAGTCTTTATTGCTTACAGAGCTGTACTGTCAGCATGTGCTCTAGAAGATGATCTTCGAGCATTGGCCTTACAAGATGAGACTCGCTGTGGTGAGAATGGATCGTCTTTAAGTGGAGGACAAAAGGCTCGTGTCGCTCTGGCAAGAGCAGTTTATCAGGTACAAAAGAAGGCAGCTCATTGTTTTTTACCTTTATAACTATTTTTGAGCAACAAGGAGTTTTGTAAGCATCATTTGTAAAAGCTATTTTCTTGACTGTTTCCAGAATAAGAGCATCTACATCTTAGACGATGTATTGTCAGCAGTGGACGGTCCTGTGGCACGTCACATAATGAGGCATTGTGTCCATGGTCTCCTGGCAGGCAGAACAGTGGTGCTAACAACCCACCATCTGACTCTCCTTACTAAAGCAGATTGGGTTATCAGAATGGATAATGGAGTTATTGAGTCTCAAGGTTAGTTGTTTCTTTATGCTAATTACTTCACTTGGTTTATTTATCCATATTCATATGTATTAGAAGTGGAATAGCAAAGTTAACCCCTATGATCTGGAGGATGTGACTATCACGTCATGATTCACAGGTGATGTAAACATGCTGTCATGGTAAAATTTGGCTGTGGGCCATAGTGATGTGAACTTACCATCATGAGCATTTCAGCTGAAGGGGAGTGTGAAGGGAAAGATTCGCCATAAGTGCACAAGGCTGTAGGACGGTGATTAGACTGATTTGGTGTTTAGGAAGGGGCTTTTGCCTGTGAGCAATGACTGGAAGAGCACCAGCTTCAGGGAGGATGCTATTTACATGCTCAGGATCACATTTCTGCCCACTATGACTGATGGCATAGGTTGTATTACAGAAAATTATATATTAAGAAAAAAAGACATGAAGAACAAAATGATACTTATTGTTATTATTATTGCACTGAGTTATAGACTACCTTGAGAGATGATATGGAGTCTGTACAAGAAAAACAATCTATTACCATGTAGATAAAGCAAATCAGATGACAAATATTGACATTGGAAAATGGCATGAAATCTAAAAAGGCATATGCAGAAAAAGAGAAAGTAACATTGCAGAGGGGAGGCATGGAGTCTTGTCACTGATCATAAGTGTTTGCTGTGCACATCCAGCAGTGTCCACTCACATAAGCCTAATGCCCATATTTTGGGCCACATGATGGCAGTGAAGCATCTGGATCCACTGGATTAAACACTTTCTTCATACCTCTTAACCCCCAGGATCCGGTTGCAATGGTTTCATAAGTGGCCAGCATCCTGGGCATATGGCACTTAGGCCGGGTGCACATGAACACCCATGAGCGGTGACAAGACTCTGTGCCTCCCCTTTGAGAAGTTATTTTGTGAAAACTTTTTTAGCTTTATCAAAATTTTCCAATGTCCATATTTGTCTTTTGATTTGCTTTATCCAGATGGTAATTACTTAGTTTTCTTGCACAGACTCCATATCATCTCGCTATGTAATAAATAGCTCAGTGCAAGAAAAAAAAAATATATGGAATATTTGGTTATTTGTCTCATTTTTTTGTAATTTTCAATTTTACGTAATACAACCTGTGCCGCCGGTCACAGCGGTCAGGAATATGGTGCGCAGCATGGAAATGGTGTCCTCCCTGGAGCTGGTGCTCTTCCAGTCACTGCTTATGCATGTTACATTCCATATTCGTTTAACGATGGAAATAATGCTAAAGCCCCCTTCTAAGCCTCAAATGAGTCAAATCACACTCCAAGAGGTTTGTGCACTCGTGGCAAGTCTTTTCCGTCCCCCTGGCATTTGTTCTTGACACTTTGTTCACGTCACCCATATAGTTGCCCAAGTTTTTCCTTGACGTGACCGCAACATCATTCGGATTCAGGGGGTTAATCTTATTCATAAACTGTTAAATGATCCCTGCCTGGTTATATGAAATGCAGATCATGTGGCAAAAATAGATGTGAAGATTTTTTTATTTTCTAAATTATAGGGTTGTTTTTCAGGACCACCAGCAGTAATCTTGCCAAGTTTCGTCTCCCCGGAAGAGCTGTCAGATGAGTGGTGGGAGGAAGCAGAAGATCCACAGGTGTCAGGTGCTAAACTGAGAAGGATTTCCTTAGATGTTTTTGCTGCAAGTCAATCAAAAGCTGCAGATGTGATGAGAAAGGTATTAAAGATTTGGTTGTATAGTTATAAAATATTATTTTATGATATGCCAAATTGTGCTTTGTTTTTTTGTGGATACCTTATTTGTCTCAGTTTCTCCAAAATACTGACCAAAAGGAACCAAATGGTTTATAAAAAAAAAAAAAAAAAAAAAAAAAAAAAAAAAAAAAAAAAAAAAAAAAATCACTTCAATTTTGGTTGTAGACCAGTGTAATTTCTTACAGGACTATTTCAGAAGGAATGGCAAATCAAGGGTTATAATGGAAAGACTATTGTCCTGCATATTGAAAATCTGTCTTTGAAAAAATTAATCTTACTTTGCAGCTATTACTCCATATTGAAAATCTAATATATGTCATTATTACTGTTATGAGCACGGTTACTTGAATGCCATAATTATCAATAATGCAAACACTCTTTTCCCAAACAAGATTGAAGAAGCAGAAGAGCGTGATTACGGAGAGCTGAGCAATGCAGTATACGTGACATATGCCACAGCAGTTGGTGGGATCCTTACAGCAGCGATCTTTTTCTCATTTATTTTGATGCAAGGTTCAAGGAATCTCACAGACATATGGCTGGCCTACTGGGTTTCTGAAGTCACATCTGACAACAGGTACCTGTAAACCTCCTCTTCCCATTTATACTCCTTTTCCCTGTGTCTTCCTTATCCTTCCAAGCCTTCTTTAATCTTTTGATGTCTGTAATTATTGTCTCAATAGTCATATTGATACTGATTTAGAATGAATCTATCTACCTCAGTCAGTATATGACCAGATGGGCCAGCATAATCAATTTATAAAATAAGAGAAGCTTAGGATAAAAAAAATGAAATAATGCACAGATTATGTTAATCATAGATATCAGTAATCCAGGTGATGTATCAGCATTAACCATAGAACATCAGCTGGTCAAGTGATGGTCATGCAAAGGAAAGACTGCCAGATTTAAATCACTACACTGACTTTAGACCATTAAATGCAGCATTAATGAAGTTCAGTCTGCATCATATATTTCTGATAATGCTCTACATTGAAATCTAGCCTGAAATGTTTACTCTCCCTGTGAAATGATATATTTATTTACCTCTCATTATCAAAGATACTAATGATATCTTGCAAATATCAATATATGAGATGCATGAAAAGTTTAGCCTGTTCTAGAAACATATTAGACTATTGTCAAAGAATAATAAATAACTGCATATTCTCCCAGCACTGGCAGCACTGTGCTATTGCAAGGTGGAGTGTCAACACCCTGGGCTGGGACAGCCACCAGGCCAGATCCTCCCAAGATGACCAGCCCAAACTCAGGTCCTCTACAGTGGCTTATTCCTGGGAATCCTGTGCATCAAGTAAATACTCAGATTTTATGTTTGTCTTACTTAGTAGGATATCATGATACAGTTGGGAAGTGTGAAGTTTTTGGTATACAGAGAAGTATTCACTCATAACATTGGAAAGCATGGAAGAAATTTAGAGGTTGGTCACTAAAATAGAAAATCAGATTGATCTTGTTCAAGAAATTGTCATATATATTCTCAGACTTCATAGACATAATTTTTCCTCAGGTGCTGCTTCTGCAGGAGCTGCCAGAAACAAACTTTTTGGCAGATGTGGATCCAAGCACCAAATTCTATCTCACAGTTTACGGAATTCTTGCTGCATCGAATACTGTGTTCACTCTTATGAGATCTTTCCTATTTGCTTACGGAGGGATATGTGCAGCAAGATACATTCACCGCAGATTGTTGGATTCAGTACTCTATGTAAGTTTTTAAAGTATAGTCTAATCCTCTGCTGATGCATACATACCAAAGAAGTTGATCTAGAATTCTTGAAATTTCAGATAAATCTTTAAAGAATTTTTTTTTTAATGATAATTGGAGAAAATGTTCTTATTCTTAACCCCTCTGATCTGGATGATGTTACTGTCTTGTCATGGAAAAATCTGGATCGAGGGCCGGGTCATGTTAACATGATGTCATCGGGCAAAATGGCTGCGGCCTGGGTGACATGAATTTGCTGTCATGAGTGAAGGCCAGGGTGACAGAAAAGACTTACCATGAGTGCACAAACCTCTTGGAGTGTGATTTAGTCATTTAGTGCTTAGAAGGGGGCTTTAGCATTATTCCCATCAATAAACTAATATTGAATGTAACATGCATATGCCATGACTGGAAGAGCGTCAGTTCCAGGGAGGATGCTATTTCCATGCTGCGCATCATTTTCCTGGCCTCGCAGGTTTTTTCAGAAAATTTAAGATTTCAAAAAAGTAAGATATATTACACAAATAACCAAATGTTCCATATTTCTTTTTTCTTGAACTGAGCTATTTACTATGTAGAGATGATGTGGAGTCAGTGCAAGGAAAATAAGCTATTACCATCTGGATAAAGCAAATCAAAAGACAAATATGGACATTGGAAAATGGCAGGAAAGTTTTTAAAGGTTACATAAAAGAATTTTGAAAAGGGGAGGTACAGATTCTTGTCACTGCTCATGGGTGTTCATGCGCCCGGCCTACACGCCACACATCACATCATCAGGCTGCTTACCTAACCCACTGCCCGTATTTTTGCCACCGTAATTTCCACAATGCAACCAGATCCAAAGGGTTAAAATTCAGTAACTGCTATATAGAACTGTTATTAGAAGAAAAAAAGAAAAGAAGTTATGGAGACTACTTTCAAATGTAAAATGAAAGGGAGGGCAATACATTCAGATCAGTTTCTGTTTGATGATAATGTGACATATTTTAAATAATTTTTTGCAGATATCTGAAATAAGGAGTCTTATTAGATTCTTTAGAAATCGAATGGTACTGTGCATATGCAGACACAGATTTAAGGCTGATGCATATAAGATGAAAACTAATTTATTGTTGCACACTCTAATTTGCAGGCCAAGATAACCTTCTTCGATAACAACTCTCTTGGGCGCATTCTAAATCGTTTTTCATCGGACCTGTACACAGTAGATGACTCTCTACCCTTCCAGATGAACATCTTTTTTGCTCAAGCATTTGGGCTATTTGGTTAGTTTATTTAAAATCCAAGGAGAAAGAATTTCTAGTATTTTAATCAAAAATATTTTTCTTCAACTGTACTTTTATCAAATTGAGATGACATTTTTGATTATATGTATTCTGATTGCATTTTGAATTAATAATTTGAAGATGGGTCATGTAAGTAAAATATGATTTATATTCTGATGAATTTTCAGGTGCTATTGTGGTAACAATCTATAGCTTACCATGGATCACCTTGCTCTACATCCCCTTAGCCTTTGTGTATTACACTGTTCAAAACTTTTATCGCCATACCTCTCGAGACCTAAAAAGGCTGCATGCAGTGTCCCTTTCTCCACTGTATGCTCACTTTACTGAGACTCTGCAAGGTCTTACAGTTATACGTGCCATGAGAGCTGTTCACAGGTATGAGACAAGCCCATTTATTTTGTTGTTATTATAAGAATCTAAATTTCTTTAGGTGAATTTATAGAGGTGGAGTTCATAACTGTTAATTGGACTGTATTTTGGTGGAAACAGGTTCAGCGTTCGAGCAGACAGTCTTCTAGAAGTCAGTCAGCGTGCCCAGTTTGACATCCAGGTGGCTTCACAATGGCTGAACCTCCGACTCCAGCTGATAGGATTGACAATGCTGGCTGGAGTGGCAGCTCTAGCTCTCCTGCAACACCACTTTGATGCAATTGAAGCAGGTATGGAGTGTAAATGTAATTTCTTTGCTTTGTTTTGATTGTTTTTATTTTTTATTCTTTTTTGTATATAGTTAATATTAATTTTACATATATTTTTTACGTGTGTCATAATCTTTAGAGTTTGCTGTTTATTAATATGATGATGATATTTATTTGCAATGAGGGCAGTTGTAATTGGGATTGGTCATAGACAGCCAATACTCTCCTTGGAGAGGGTTGTTGGTGACCTTGAAAGGATGACAAGGCAGATGCACTGCTCTTACCTTCAGTAGCTGTAGTGTTTTGGTGAAGTGGAGCAAATGCCAGTGCAGAGAAATGATGAACCCTTGGTATTACTAAGCTTTGGGAAGCATGAGGATGATGGACAAGGGCAGTAGATTTGAAGATGTTGGAAAGCTTTACTTCCAGATGTTGTCGGACTTTCCCAAGCAATACATGAACCTTGGCATCTTTCTTGCAAGGTACATGGTATAGAGAATCAGAACGCAGGAAGACGGAATACATCGGATGAACTTGGTTTAGAGTTACTCTCACATAGCTTCAAGCACCTTGCAACAAAGTTTGTGGCAGGAAGAGACATAGTGGCTAAATATGAAACCATTAGGCTGCCAAGGAAACAAATTGTTAGAAACAAACTCATGGTCATCGACTGAAGAAAATAGTTCTGACAATAGACACACACTCTCATTATCAAAATCTTACCAACTGAGCATACACTTAGTAAAACAAAAAGGAAAACAATGGGTTTGTCCTACCACAACTATCTAGCTCTTAAAGAGCCTATCTGCTAAGTGTAGGGGTATGCTATCACTTGACTGGGGTTTTTGGTAAAGAGTACTCTTTGGTCTTTCATGTAGAAATAGTGGTTTTTTAACATTCATTGAGAACTACCTCAGCATGGATCAGAGAGGGTTGCCTACAAAATGGTGGAGGTCATGTGATGACCAGCGGGAGCCCAGGGAATTGCTGCTGCAACAATAGCCACCTAGGAAATTTTTACCAACTAGGGAGCCCAGAGATTATACTTGCCCAGAACCTGAAGCAGTCCTTTGGAAGGAGAGAGCAGAAAAAACACAAACCACCAATTCCCAAAGGAAGAAGAAGTAAAGGGTCTCAAAGGGATATTCAAATCAAATGAAAACACAAGCTGAATCATTATATTGTTTTCAGTACAAAGGCAGTAGATGAAATAGATAGTAAAGTGAATCCATTGCCTCCTTCCCTCTACTCCTGGGAGTGTGCATGGCCAAATTTGCCTGTTTTCTAGGCCTATTTCAGACTGCCCCACAGCAACCAAGCAATGTGATTTTTTTTTGTATCCTAAACACAATTTTAATGTTTTTGCTTATTCAGAGATACAGGCTATAGGTGCTAGGTCAAACCTGTAGTAGACTGACTATGTATATTAGAGCCCATTTTATTAAAAAATGCACTGTGTAAAAATGGAATGTGGTTTTATTGAGGGATAAAGATGAATATTATTATTTTTTTAATGTATGCAAGGCTTCAGTACTTCTGCTTATGTGAATGACTTCCAGACATTGACACTAGCAGAGTTCCCCCCTCCCCCCAGTCCCTTGCTTGTTTTTGTGGGGGGCTTAGGACATGGAGACTGAGGCCCAGTGTATGGGATCACCCCTAGCTTGGGCCTAAGCTCTTGCTTCCCCCTTATCTCTTCCGTATCTTCTTCATTACCTTCTGTCCCATTCCTAAAGTGTGAGAGCCATGCTCAAAAGGATGAAAGGCTGGCTTTGTGTCAGTCCTGAACGGCCTCCGGGAGTCATGGTATTCCCTTGGTTAATTGTCTAGCCCTTACCTCTTATGGGGACCTTGAGGGTAGACCATTTCGTTTCCTCATTTTATTCAGGCTCACCATGGCCAATAATAAAGAATTTTAACCCTTATTAGGGGCAATTAGGCTTGCCCCATCATCAACTAGCCCATCTGAATTTGATTTTGTTGGTTTTTCAACCCCTGCCCCTCCTTTGACCCAGGCTCTGACCAGTGATACTAATACCTCCTCGATGTTTACTAACACCTCTATCCATTCTGAACCACCCACCCAGGTCATTACTCAACCTTCAGAATGCACTCATTCTCCTCTCCTAACATTCTTGACTCCATCTCCTTCTGCAAGGTCTTCTTCTATGTCTACCCCCTCTTCCCTTATGACTACTCTTCATCCTTATTGTCCTCCCCCCCCCCACACTGAACTACTCCACTTCACACCACCCCATCTTCCTCCTGCCCTCATCCTTCTGCTGCTTCCAACTTTGCAAACCTTTTGAGTACTCTTTGTCCTGGTAAGTGAGATCGATTCTTTGTGATTCCCCCTATAGCCACTTACTCTGAGAATATCCTTCTCTTTCAACAATGTCTACACAAACAAGTAGGCAGAGTTCCTTTTGCAGTTGCTCCAGTCGTTCATGCCTTGACACAGTTACATCTGAATCCCAAGCTCGTGCACTTTCTACCCTAGCTGACCTCACTGGCAAACCCATTCCTGCTGAACCTCTGTTAACTCATTGGATCCGGTTGTGTCACGGAAATCAAGGTGCCAAAAATACAGGCAGTGGGTTACACAGGTAGCCAACATCCCAGGCATATGATGTGTAGGCTGGGCGTGCATGAACACCCATGAGCAGTGACAAGACTTTTTGTCTCCCCTTTGCAAAGTTATTTTGTGTAAACATTTTCAGCCTTTTGGCCATTTTCCAATATCCATATTTGTGTTTTTATTTGCTTTATCCAGATGGTTATAGCTTTTTTTCCGTGCACAGATTCCATCTGATATCTCTATGTAGAATATAATTTGGTGCAAAGAAAAAAAAAATGAATGGAAAATTTGGTTATTTGTGTCATATATCTCATTTTTTCATAATTTTCAATTTATCCTGCGCTGTCAGTCACAGCAGCCAGGAATTCAGTGCGCAGCATGGAAATAGTGTCCTCCCTGGAGCAGGCGCTCTTCCAGTCACGGCTTATGCACATTACATTCCACATTCGTTCATCAATAGGATGAAGCCCCTCTTTAAGTGCCAAATGAGTCAAATCACACTCCAAGAGGCCCATGGCCTTTTGCCCGATGATTTTTCCATGACAGTACTGTAACGTCATCTAGATTGTAGGGGTTAATACTTGTACTGGAACTGTATCTATCTATGACAAGAACTGGTCAGACTGTGAAAATTATCTACTAGCCTATCTTGTTGATTATGATGCAGTGGCAGTACAGTGCTACACTTTTCCTCTCTGAGGCAGTGTAAGTCCCATACCAATATTGCCAAGATTAGCTCCTGTATACATGGCCTTCCCCATGAAGGTTATATAGGTAGAGTGTCCTACCATGTCCAACCATATTGATCCCTTCCTCATCAATACCAGCCAAATTCAGTTGCACCAAAGCCTTCTGCCCTCTTTGTGCCCAACCTGGTCATGACCATTCAAATTGCTCTGCACATTCATGTACATGTGCCACTTGTGGTGGCTCTCATAATTTATGTTATAGGAGATGCCCTGCCTATAAGCCTGAATATGAGATAGCAGTTCTCAGATTCAAACTATGCCTCATTCTTCATGAGGCCAGACAGGAAGCATGGCAACGAGGTTTTTCTCTCTCTACTTATTCCATAAACTGTCCTTCACTCTGCTCTTTCCCATCTTCTCAAGAAGTCTCAAGTTCTCCCTCAGTATCTCTTCCCTCTACCTCAAACCATCCTACCTCTACTCCCCCTCTCCCCAGTCAAATTCCTTTTCCAGTCTAAATCCAGATACTCCTATCTCTACCAATTCCCCAATACTTACCCCTCCTCACTTTACTTGCCGCACTACACCTTCTCCTACCACATCCTTTCCTACACCTTCCTCTTCCTCTGCTCTGCTCCTCAGATATCTATCCCCTCTTCTCAAAGGGGACCTTTGTTTCTCAGTCCTCTTCACCCAACTCCCCTCCAAAAACTCCTGAAGACATCCAAAACTTCATAAGAAGCACTGCTCCCTCATCCACCCTCCAGTCACTCTGTTCCTACACCCTCTACATTTAAAGTATTTGCTGATATCCAGCCTCCTCCTCTTCCTCAAGTTACCCCCACTCCCCTTCCTCCTACACTTTCCCAACACATCCCATCCTCTCTACCGCTCCCACTTGAATGCTCACACGAATCCCTTCTGTCACAATAATTACCTTTTCCAGACCTACCTCTTACCTCCTGACACTCTTCCTGATACTTCACCAGCTTCCCCAGTCCCCCTTTTGCATCCCCTGGATTGTTCTCCTCTTGCTTCTCCAACAGCCATCTCTGTTTTCTTTAAACAAAGTCCCTATTCCTTCCTAAGTCATAGATACACTGCAATTCACTCCATCACCCTATCCCCTTAACCCTTCCCTTTTTAATAATCACTGCTCTACTTCATTTGCTACTCTTTTTTTCCCTTTTCACTGCCATGCTATCCCATAATGCTCTGTAATCTTTAACATTCAACACTCCCCCGGATTATTCTCCTCCTACTTTTCCAACAACCATCTCTGTTTCCCTTGAATAATGTTCCTATTCCTACACAGCAGTTCACTCAATCGCCCTACCCCCTTAACCCTTCTCTTTTTACTAATCTCTTCTCTGCTTCATTTGTTTCTTTTCCCATTTCACTACCATATTATCCTATAATGCTCTCTAATCTTTGACGTCTAACACATTTTTTCCTAATATTTAAATCTTCTTTACCCTTTGCACTACAATACTTTATCATAGTGCTATATGACCTTTGATGTCTAGCATATTTATTGGGTTCTGTCATTAACCATTAACAGGGTGTCATACAATCTAAATTAGTTGGCATGAGACTGATTATGTAAACTTTAACAGATGGGATGATAATACCATGTGTAAAAAAAGGGATGTGGTATAATTGGAGAAAAAAACTTTTATTTTTATGAAAAAACAAAATATATTTACAATCACGCTCTGGGCTGCTATTCCCATTGCCTACCTGTAATTGTTCATATGAATGAAAGAACAGCAGTAAATGCAGTTACATGCATTATAGTATTATCACCTGTCCTAAGTAGCCAACTATGAGGGGAGTAGCCAGTCATCTGTAGCCATGATCTAGTCAGCCATGACATGAACAGCATGTTACCCAGAGCCACTTGGTTAAATAAGGAGAGCATGATCATGAAATAGGGAAAAAGTCCATTGAGCAACAACAACAAAAATACATTCCAAGATACATCAGAGAACTCAGAGTACAGACAAACTGCCAGACACAAAGTGAATAACATAGTATCTGCTCTCTTTGTGGCAGATAAGAAAATACGAGATGGTCATAGCTCATGGCAATGGACCTGATAGAGGGGAGGGAGGAGAGGGTTTTTTTTCTGTTCCTTCCTTCCTTGGCTTAAAGATGTTCTGTGCAGCTGCAATGTTTGGTAGGAAGCAACTCATTTTATATATTTGATTACACTAATATATTTATTAGCAATAGATTTAAAAAATCAAAAAAATCAAGGAAAATTGCATAGACCTACCAATTAGCTTCTTGTTGGATAAGCACTTATTAAGTCATCTATGTGTCAGAAAAAAAAAAAATGTGGACAGTATATGCATACCTAATATACCTTGACAACAGACACCAAGAGACAAAACAAGCACTTAGTTATTTTTTTTTTTTATTAGTTATCATGCATTGTTGCTTTTGCACTAGTAGTATCATTGTTAATTAATAGCTTTATATTTATATTTATGATGATGGTATTGTTGTGATTCATGTTTTTATTATTATCATTTTATTGTGTTAATTACTATCATTATGATGCTGGCAATGACTGTTTAATGTTATTATTAACATTGTTATTATTATTATTATTATTATTTATTTTCCCTCAAAAGGAAAGCAAAAAATAACTCTCTGGTACTTACAAATTATGTTAGGGCTGGTTGGCCTTGTCATCTCCTACGCCCTCACGATCAGCAACTTCTTGAACAATGTGGTGGGATCCCTCACTGAGACAGAACGAGAACTAGTGAGCGTCGAGCGAGTCAAGCAGTATCTGGATGGTGCAGAGCCAGAGAGAAGAGAAGGCACTGCAGTCCCTCCATTTGGCTGGCTGAGCCATGGCTCCATCCGGTTCCAAAATGTCTCCCTGCGATACCAGTGAGTGGTCTTAGGCTCTTCCGCATTTTTTTTTTTTTTTTTTTTTTTTTTTTTTTTTTTTTCCCCACTTATTAATATAAATGAATTTTTAGTGTAATCTACCTTTGAGTCATTTTAGTCAGAAGAGTTTGCTTAAGTATAGTTTTCAAAATCAAATGATAGAACTTCTCTCCCTGTGTTATTAAATAATTTTGTGATCATTCTTTGATTCATACCTGTTGTTTCGTATACATTTTTCAGTGAGCACAACCCTTATGCCTTGAAGAAAGTTAATTTTGAGGTGGGAGCATCTGAGAAGGTTGGCATCATTGGTCGCACAGGTGCTGGCAAAAGTTCCATATTTACTGCTCTGTTTCGGCTGGTTGAACTGACTCGTGGCCGAATATATGTTGATAATGTGGATATTTCAAAATTAAGCCTTAAAAGATTACGGTAAGTTGACAATATATTGTATTTTCTTGATAGAAGTACTTACATTAAGTGTATAAGCATGAAATTCACCACTTTATTGTTTCACATGTTAAACATACACATTATGTTGGAACATGGAGTATTCCTTTTTTTTTCTCTTTCTCTCATTTCTGCTCAGTAAGTATTATATGTAGCAGAAGGACTTTCTTGAAATGTTTATATTCATCAAATTTGTAGGGAGTGTTTTCTTTTTAAAGTTCAGCTGATTATACACATACTCATGTTTTAAACAAGGTATGTAATTGGCAATATCCAGTCTAGTTAAACTAACATTTAGAATATAGATTTAATATGTAAGCCAGTTATTGGATAAGAGCAGAAATTGATGAAGAAAATTGTAAGATGTTATCTCTTTTAAAAATGACATCTTTTAGGTCCAGCATGGCCATTGTAACACAAGATGCTCTGCTGTTTAGTGGGACAGTTAGGGAGAATCTTGACCCATGTGGGGAGTCTCTTGAT